TCTAGGCGGCCCGACCCCATCCCTACGACGGAACCTTCCATAGCACCCCGCCAGAGACCTAAAGCAGGACAGACACAACCCAACCCTGGAATTTTACCCATTCAGCCAGCCCTGACGCCTAGGAAGAGACCCACGGCCCAAGCAGCCATTCAGCCACAAGGTGAAATGATACCCTCTGTTCCGTGTCTTCCTGCGAGGCACTGTGTTCCGCAGGGCTGTGGTGCACGTTGATCTAATGTATCTGCATGTGTGTATATATATATATATATATATATATAAACTACCAGTTGCAGGACCTGCTGCCCTGGGCAGCAGTCAGCCTTCACTCCCTGCAAGCGTCCCCCAGCAAAAAGCAGCACCTCAACAGACTCCGGCACAGCCACAAGCCAAGCAGGTGCCCGCTCCGCAGCAGGCCTCGCAGGCGCAGCCCCAGGTCCCTTCTACTCAGCCACAAGCCACACCTCAGCATCAACAGCAGCTTTTCTTGAAGCAGCAGCTTCTGCAACAGCAGCAGCAGCAGCAACAGGCCGCCTATTACCAGCAGCAGCAGATGATGCAAGCTCAGCAGGTCGGTGTGCACGGCTGTGTTTGTTGCATGCTTCCTCTGCTAGAGGCCCACGAGGCCGTATCTTTGCATTTGTGGCAAGTCTTCTGGTTTTGAGGGGGAGATAGATGCAGGTTTTGGGTATTTTCCAATGTGTCTTCAGTTATTTAGCAAGATTTTTTTGCTGCGCAAGGCTGGCATTTTTAACTGTCAGCGTGGAAGGCCTTGAGACAGTTTTATCATGTACAAGCGTAAAATAACCAAGTGCTGCTTAAGATTTTACAGCTCCAAGAGTTTCAGGGTCTCGAGGTCAATGCTCAACTGATGAGCTCGAGGGGTGCAATTTCTCTCGTGCTCTCTCGGTGGTACAAGAAGCCTGGTATGCCTTTTTAACGGTAAGGTGCAGGTCTGTTTTTGTGGTAGACTGCAGCAGTAAGGAGGCCTGCGAACACATGATGTGTTAGACGGGATGCGTCTAGATGACAGACTTGTGTGCTTAGCTGAGGTGTTTATAGCAGCACAGATCTCTGCTGAAGCATATTTAAAAGTGGAAGCAAAGGGCCAGTGAATCTTCCTATGCTGGGGAAAGGTTTATAATTGGTAAAAATGGAGAGAAGAATTTGGGACCACAGTCTGTGCTGTGGGAGCCCCGTATGGGCAGGTGTAACACAGAAAGGATCTAACGCTAGACCAGAAGTTTGTTCTCCACGGCTCCTCTGCAGGTGGTCTCCAAGCCGTCGCAGCATGTTACTGCTTTGCCACTTGCAGTGGCTGTAACCGTTCCCGTGGGTGGCCTGGTTCTGGTGGTGGTACCCCAGTTCCCGGCCGCACAACAAGTGGCTCAACAACTGCTTGTTTCCCAGTTCCCAGTGATGCAGCAAGGAGCGCCAGCACAGCAGCAGCTGATGCAGAACTATTACCAGCAGCAGCAACAGCAGCAGCAGATGATGGCCCAGCAGGCAGCGATGCAGCAGAAGACAGCAGTAGCAGCAGTTCAGCAAAAGCAACAAGCCCCGGTGCCGCCGCAGCCCCAGGCCCAGCAAAGCGCGGCCCAGCCGGCGCCGGCGCAGGAGCAAGTGGTAAGAGCCTTGTGGGAAGGAGCAGGGCAGCAGGATTTGGAGTAGCAGCAAGAGCCCTCCTGCCAGGTCCTATATGCCAGGAACGCCCCAGCGAGGCAGCTGGCTTTTCAGACCCCCAGAGCCCAGGTAATCGGTGCTCTAGGGTCTGCTGGCCCCTGGTGCGTTATTATTGAGTTGCAGATGTCAGCACTAACCTTGCTGCCTCAGAGACAGTGTGCAATGGTTTGGGCTCCACTTTCCAACGGGATGCTGCAGTCTGGAGTTGTGCTCTGGGTCCATAGCAAGAAGATGAGTAGGTGATGAGCAGAAAGCAGATGAGAAGGTATAAGTCGATGCTTAATGCAGCTTCTCTCTATCCCTTCCCTGTCACATTGCCTTAGAAGACATGTGATAAATGCTTTTAAAACTTGTACTTAACACATCAGGATGGGCACCAGGCAACAGAACAACTTTATGTTGCTGCTTGTTTGGAAAACTTCCATCTTGCATTCGGGGCTCTGATGCAGAGGAAGGTGCAAGCAGCCTTCCCGGTTGTTTCTGGCGTTGGGGTAACTTTTTTTTTCCTTAACAAATACTATGGAAAGGAGACTTTTCAAAGCACCGTATCTAAAAATAAAGCAATAAATCATCCACTTTACTAATCATCTGAACGTGCCTCCAAAATAAATGTTCTTTACTTAATGGAAAATACGTCTGTCGGCACCAGGGAAATAGGCAGCTGCCCGTAGTGTTAAAGGCAGGGGAGCTGTGCCAGAGGGCAGGATCCCCGTTGCCAAAGCGTCTCTGCAGTACATATGGGAGGAAGCTGTGCCTTTTGTTTTCGTTCCTGTGCAATCCCATCCATTCCTGTGCAATCCCATCCGCTCTCACTTGGTTTTGGGAGCTCAAAGGGATGTCCCTAACTCTAGCTGTGTGTTGGAAAAGAAAGCGCGCGCAGGCACCAGGCAAGAGGAAGCAGCCCGCTGTTCTGCTGTGCCAGGTTGCACGTGTGCAAAGCAAACAGGATCAGATATCAAACCACTTCAGGTACACGATATTTGAGTCCAAACTAAGGGCCAATTTGTGCGTTCCTGTTCATGAGTTAGCAGCCGTTCAGGATTTAATTCATCTCTTGAGCGTGCTTCCTTTTGAAGTGACGTCAGGAACTAATTTGACTAATAAACTCCATAAGCCAGTGACCTGAGCAGTGCTGGGGAAGCATTGGGGTTTTTTGTTAATCTCTGCTGTGTCTCAAGGCTCTGATGTATCCACCCCCTTTTGCTTTTATATTAATTTTCAGTACTAAGCTGGTGGTTAGGGTAGGTGACAAGCTTGGAGCTGTTGTGTTCCTGGTCTTGTTACTGTTTTGCTGAATGACCTGGGGCAAGTCAGTTTATTGAAATTGGTGGGAGAATTCCAGTATATGCAGACAGGTTTTGGAGGAGGCCCATTATTACCCTTTTCTCCCTGTTCAGGAGAAATGCCTCAAAAGTAGCATTGAAGTGCATCTCTAAAGAGCTTTGCTGTGATTCACTAGCACAAAAACAGTCTTAATTTTATTAAATCAGCTACATTGAAAATTAGCCTTATCCCCCCCAGAAGGCTGATCAGAAATGACACATCTGGATTCTTTTCCACTCCTGCGGCAGTCAGGAGGGGGAAAGCAGTGGTCGACTCATTTAAAAAATGATCGAGAGACACGGTCTCTGCAGAGCAGGATCTCTGAGCAGAAGATACCAAGCCAGGACCTGTCAAAACCTTTTCACGTTGTGAGACCTTCAGCTTAATAAGCTCTGTGTTCATTTCTGTGGAGGTTTTGGCACTGCCCTTTTATTTCTCAGCACCAAATGTACCATTCTGCAGTGACCTATATAGCGAGATGTAAGGTGGGTGCATCAGCAGCAGTCAGGTCAGCTTGCTTCTCAGCCGCAGTGAATTAGTCTGCCTGAAAATGCCAGATGAAAAGCAAGACATCTAACCACTTGTTTGCCTTGCCCTGCTGTCGTTAAGCACCACGCTGGGAATGTGACTCTTTTCTCACTGCCCCTTTAGGTCTTTCCAAGTCTTTGATCTGTCTTCCTTGGTTGAAAAGGGCCTGGGATGATACAGGGTGGGGAACAGGGAGCCTAGTGCCCAGGCAGTGGAGGTGACGTGCACAGCTTTCTGCTCTTTGCATCCTGGCTTTCCTGCTTTAACTCCAACTATGATACCTCACTGACAGACAGATTTTGGAAAAAAAAAATGACATAATTGGAAGTGATGCTGTTGTTTAACACTACAGACCAGTATTTCAAGTATTTATGGGTTTGTGAGTTTAACACAAGACTGAGGTAATGGAAAAATAAGATCAGTTTGAGGAAACCACTTGGAAGTTTCCAAGGGGTTTGTAGCTGGGCTATCTTGGCTTACACTTAAACCAAACACGCCTGTTTTTCTCCTCCAGATTGTAATGAGAAATGTTGCATCTGTGGTCCTTGCTTTCCCCCCCACCCCCGGAAGGGAAAGCTAAGAAAGCTTCTTGCATGAGACTTCTGCAGATGACCTGTACTCCTTTAGGGATTTGACCCCAGTCACACATTATCTGCTGGAAGGAGTGCTGCTCTCCACCTTGCCCCACTCCGTGTGTCCATATTGACAAGAATCCTGCGCACTATGATCTGATTTCTGGTTTTACCTCTGCCCTGGGTCTCAGCCTCTTCACCCAGGAGCAAGTTTCTGAGACCAGCTAGCCTTTAATAGCAAGAGGGAAAGGGGAGAAAGTCTCTGCTTGTGCATTTGTACTAATCCTGAAGTGCTACAGATCATCAAATTCCCTGCTCTGTTTTTTCCCCTCCAGACTCCCCCCAGTCCATGACTTGAAGGTCAGATCCTCCAGCATATAGCTCTCTGTTCGTCATGGCTGTTGTTTGTGAACAAGGACATACAATTTTACTCTCTCTCCTAGATGCAGGCACAAATGAGGCAACAGCAAAAACCTCAAACCACCCCCCCCCCAGCAGTGCCAGGGCAGAAGCTGGGCTCTCTCACCCCTCCATCCTCCCCCAAGACCCAGCGTGCAGGACACAGGAGGATTCTGAGCGATGTGACCCACAGCGCGGTTTTTGGGGTTCCAGCCAGCAAGTCTACCCAGCTCCTGCAGGCGGCGGCTGCTGAAGCCAGCCTCAACAAGTCCAAGTAAGTGGCTGCTCACTTGGTGTCAAAGGGTACAGAGGGAGGGGGTAGATGAGGCTTTTCAGAGGTTACCTAGGCAAAGCTCTGGGATGAAGGTAGGTAGCAAACTCTGTGGTCGAAATGAGTCTTTGCTTTCCCACAGCCACAGTTTAGGGCTTGGCAGAAAGCTACTGAAAAACCTCCTCAAGTGCAGAAGTCCTCCTGAGTGCTTCCGTGCTCCCCAGAAGCGAAGCAAACAGGGCCTGCCTCTGGATTACCAAAGCAAGTGTCGTTTCTGCTGTTCCACCAGTAGCCCTGGTGCATGCTTCACGCTTGCCGCTTAGCATCAGCGCTTCCCCAGGAGTATTTGCCAGCTCACTTTTATAGTGGCTGCAGGCAGGAAGCCTCCATGTGGGCATTGCAGAAAACTGTTTCACATGGGATTCTCGTGATGCTTGTTTTAATCGCTGGCATCAGGATGCTCTGGTTAGATGACGAGTAGATAAGGCTAACTGGTCCCAGATTTCTGGGCATGCAAGTACAACAGCTTGTGCTGAGTGTTTTAAGCAGGGAGTAATTCTAATGCAGTAGCTTGGACCAGCTCGTAGTGCTGGCCAGAGGATTTCAGATGGGTTATTAATGACTGTTGTTTGGTTGGGGTGATCACATCCAGATCTGCTTCCACCACACCCTCGGGTTCCCCAAGGACCTCACAGCAGAATGTCTATAACCCGCCCGATGTCTCCACGTGGAATCCGTTTGATGATGATAACTTCTCCAAACTCACAGCCGAGGAGCTGCTGAACAAGGACTTTGCAAAGCTAGGTGACGGTAGGTTGATGGAGATGGTTTAATACCAGCCTGCTCTCAAAATGGAAGGTGGCATGGAATGATGATGCTTTTGGTCAGGTGCTGCTGGGGTCCTCCTGTATTATCATGATCCTCTGTGCCTCTAGGCGCTAAATCCTTGCGTATCCCTTCTCTGTCCCTGTCCTCTTTGCTGAGCACCTGCGATTAAATGAGCATGATCCTCAAAGGGAGAGGTACTAACTGCTCTTAAAGTGGCCTTGATCAGTTGGTTGTAGAAGCTACAGTTTAAACTCTGCTTCCTCTGCAAGTTGTGATTTTCAGGAAGGGACTTAAATCACATACTGAAATAGTGTCTTAAGAATCTAGGTAAGTAAGGAACCTTCAGGATGGAAGTTTTTCCCCTAAATCTGTGTCTGGCATTTCAGGGAAGGCTCCAGAAAAGATGGGCAGTTCCACAGAGAACTTGATTCCGGGTTTCCAGCCGGCTTCATCTGCAGCCCAGGCAGATGCATTTGGTGGCTCTTCCTTCACTGCTGGATCAGGTGAGTTTGTGAATACGTCCTACAGGGCAATGCCCTGGACTGGACTGCAGAAAAAGTGGCAACTTTGTCAGAGCGCCTTCAAAAGGAAGGTAAAACTGATCCAAACTGAGCTGGGCCTTGGCACTGAGAACTGTAGGACAGGGTTGGCACCTCAGTAAAGAGGGGAAGGCAGGAACGGCACGTGTACTTGTCACGGTTGGCTAGTAGAGACAGGAGGCACCATCTATAGGCAGAGGTGAGGCTTTTGATGAGGGAAGAAACTAAGTGAACCTGTTAAGTTCACAAGAAGCTGTCTTAACATGTTGAAGTTCCATGCAGCTCATACTTAAACGTAAAATATGCAGCGTGCAATAAAGGAATTGGACTCGGAGATACTTGGCAGAGATGCTGGAGGATATTCCTTGCCTGCTGTTGTTATGTTGTTGTATGGAGGAGAAGACCAGGGTTGTTAACGTCTCTGCTGCAGAATGAGGAGTATAGCAGAGGCAGGGAACAGCAGGGAAAATCCTTAGAGGAGAGCATGGTTAAAAGTTTTGTACTGGCTGTGCTGTCCGGGTCCAGAAGCCAGGAGTCCTTGGCTGGTCCTAAGGAGCTTTTCTACAGAGGCCCCTGCATGCGTGACCTTGTCTGAGGTCTCTTTTTGTACTTGGGTGCCAAGGTTTTGCCACGAGCAGCCCCTTCTGTGCTGAAAAAACTCAGTGAGTGTCGCTGCTTGTCCCTAGTTCTTCAGCATCAGTTCTCACTGAATGCAGCAGAGACCTGCCAAGCAGGGTATTGGAAAACTGCTTCCAGGAGCCCTAAATGCAAGTAGTCCTCTGCCCCGTCTTATGCAGCCGTCGTTACTGGTGACAAATGCAGCTGCTTGACGCTTCCGCACTGAAGCGCACCAACCCTTGGTGAGCGGAGTCCAGGGAAGAGATTGAAGAACACTGTGTGAGGCGAGAAGTGACAAATCCACTTCTGCTTATTTCTATTTATAAAAAGAGCTTTAGAGGAGCTTATAACTGAGCTTGGTGTGGTTGGCTCTTGCCTGAGAATTAAGGAGTTGAAGTCCATGATGTGAGTGCTCTAGGAGGTTGCTTTCCGAGTTTGCCCAGCTGCTCAGCGGCCTGTGAGCAGTTTGTGATGTTCCATCAGCCTTTGTGGAGTCATCTTGAGTAACAGCAGCTCCAGATTCACTTGTAATGTGCCTTCTGCAAAGCCCGAGAAGCATCTGCATGTTCTGGGCTTTCTGGGTGCTGTAGCACGTTCCAGTCTTCTAGCAGCTGTCTTTAAAATGTGCCCCTTGACTCTCCTGTCCTATGGGTTTGGCATAGGAAGGTGTCTTGGAGATTCTTTCGGTGCTGACACTGGGCTGGGCACTTGAGCCTTTTTCTTTTTCTTTCCTAGTAGATATGAGCCTGTCTGAGCCTGTCTGATGCAAGATGCTGTATCTTATTTCAGACAAAGAGGCCCAACGTGGGGGCTGGCCTGCTGCGTGTCCTTTGTTAAGGCATTTCACCTTTTGTGCCGCTGTAAGCAAGATAATAGTACTTCCCTTTCAAGGAATGTTTTGAGATCTGTGGATTAGGTTGTATTAGAGAGCTATGTAGTAATAGTTGGGTTTGGATTGGGTTTTTTTCCTCCTTTTCACTAGTAACTTGTTCTGAGCGTGCATGTGTCCGTTGTTCTCGTCAGGCCATAGCTTGGACTCTGTAATACTGAGCTGTGCCTGTGCTGAGATTTTGCTCAATGCTTTCTGCTTTTCTCTCTTCTCTGTTTCACTCTGCCTTTTCCTGGTTACCAGCTGAAAAAACGAAAGACATTCTGAGTTTGGACACTAGCCCTCCTCTTCTGACTGTGCCTGATCCTTTCATTCCTCTCCCATTATCTGACACGCCAGGTAACTGGAACTGAGTTTATGGGGGGGGGGGGGGGGTGGGATATGTGTCATTTATTTTGTACTCTTAATCTTCCAGTTTTATTTCTAGGCACACCTGAAATCCTGGGCCTTAGTCAATGGTGCTGGGCGCTGACGAGCTCTGAACTCAGTGGTAGCAATGATGTGTGGCACTTTCTGCCACTGAATATCTGTGTGGTGGTGCGAGCGGTGCTGAGCACGACAGCCCTTAGTTCTCGTGGCAGACCGTAGGGTTATCACGCTGTGTCTAATGCCAACAATGTTGGTGTCTATAAAGGTTCAGTTTTCAAAGCCAAAAATAATTGCTGGGTAATTACCTGTTCTGACCTGAGCCATTTTCAAATTGCTCTCCAACTTTGAAATTGTAGTTTTTATTATTGTTAATCTTTCTTTCCCCCTAAGAGTCTGTGTGTCTTTGCCTTCCAAGGTCTACTGCAAATGCGTGCTCTGTGTGAAGCACAAGCTCACGTTTAACCTTTTCTGATTTGGCTAAATTTTCTAGTGCAGTTGGTAGCAATTTCTATTTACTCTGCAGTACTACTTTAAAGTGTTTCCTGCGTGCACATTTCTGACTGCAGCAGCCAACACTTTTTAGCACAAGATTATATAAGTGCTTAGGAGCTTATTTGCAAATCAGTGGGATTTGGAATATGGGAATGTTTTTATCTCGGAGTTTCTCTAAGCCCTCTGGTGAATGTGTGTGACGGGTCCCTCGTCAGCTAGCCCCAGAGGACAAGTGCTTGTTACAGCTTTCACCCTTGTCCTCAGCTCAAGCTGTGGACCACTGGTGGTTGACAGTAGAGGACCCAAGCTCCAAAACAATGTGCCTGTAAAGATGGCATCTCTCCATGGAAAGTTAAGCAATTCAGGAAAAAAGAAATACCTTTTGTTTTTCCATAACTGCGTAGAACTGTCTTCGTTCTGGTTGATGCTCAAAGAGCCCAAAAAATGTGTTTTGGTTCAAAAGTGATTTTACTCATAAATGCTGCAGTTCAAGAATAGAAGCAGAACTTAGGGGCTTTTTCCACTATGCGAGTGCTTGCCAGGAGCTGACCTGCCCAGCTATAACTTGAAGAGAACCTACAGAAGGCAGATGACTGCAGGTTTTCTTCCCATCCCCCCCCCCAATGCTATTGGAAATGTTGGTTTTCCTGACTTGAAGTCTTGTCAGCCCAGACTACTAAATTCTCTGCCAGCGTGCTTAACGCATGCAGTTGTACACCAAGCGGTTGCTTTCATTATTGCCTATTGCATTTCAGTATAGCACAACCATACGAACCAGAAGTTGCAGCCTTAGCTGTGGCAGGTCTGAAATTCTTTATAGTACAAAAGCCACTGCAGATAAATTGCCTTTCCACCCTGCCCTTGGGTGTAAATAATCCGAGCAGGAGTTGTCTGCAGTTTTTGTGGTGCCGGGTTGCTCGTCCCGCAGATCTGTCCCTGATGGGTTGTGCATCCTTGCAGGCAGGTGCTAAACCTTCTTTCTCTAATCTGTCTGCCTGCATGTGTCTGGTCCTTTTGAGTTCAGTGGATCTTCTTCCGTGGGGGCAAAGTGGGGGGCAAGGGCATGCAGGAGATCTGGCTGCTTTGGCTTCCTGCAGGTTCCTGCAAAGACATCTCTGATTTTTTTTCTTTTTTTTTCTTAACATAAAATGTGAGGTCAGGAGCTCAGGAACGTTTTCAAGCACCAGAGCTACAGACTTATCCTTTGCTTTGAAAACTGAAAGGGGTTGTCTGTGCTTGTAAATTCAACAGAAAAGATAAAAATCCTGGATTTGGACTCAGGTTTTCAATGTATGCATCTATCATGCAGAACAGAGTCGTCTTTGTTCTTCTGTGCCTGCCTTACCTGTGCAGAAATGTTCCCCACAGCAAGCAGAGAGGGCTTGGATGTGAGGGATGTGCTGACTTACGTGTGAAAGGCATTCTTTTAGGTGTGCCCCTTGGGTCAGTAGAGCTGGGACTGACTTTAGTCTCTTCGTATATCAGTATCGCCAGTTGCACATCTCCGAGCTGCCTTAGTTTTGTGCAGAAGCAGCTGAATTTCTTTAAATGCTTGCTAAATATTTGCTTTCTGTTTGGAATATTTTTATTTCTGAGGAAACCTTGATAGTGAACCTCATTGCTTTGAAAACGTTTTACGTCTCATCTTTTTATAGACTGGGAGCATGCATAGCCCTTTCAGAAGTAAAAGCATGAGCCTTTACCCCTTGGTTACAAGAGCGGTGTTGTTCAGGAAGGCTTTCAGTACAGGCATAAGTGAGGCTTTTATTTGGTATTTTCCCCATTTGTCATACAGAGCTGGTTTTGTCGGCTCTCTGTGCTCTAAACCTGTGACAGCTGAGGGTCTGGCTGAAAGCTCAGCTTCTTTTTTTGCTTAAGCCACAAACTTGCTCCCTTTGACACTTGAGCGTGCAGGTGGCATCACTTGAGTGTTGGCCAGAGACCTCCTTGGGCTTTCCCACCTTTCCTCTATATGGTCAGAAGGACGGACGAGCCTTTCTATCGCAGATTCTCGAGAAACAAGTAAATTGTGCTTAACACGTGATAAAGAGCCACAGGGTGCATCCCCAGACAGCTTGAATGTGTTCAAATGGAGGAGCGCGCTGCCGTGGAGCTACAGCCAACAGATGTGGCTTTAAGGACGACCGCTCGCTCGTAGGCTTAGCGAGATCACGCTTTTGGTTCTGTGCAGTCAGTTAAACTTGTACAGCAAAGACAAACCTTGGAAGCAGGTTCTGGCAGGCTCTCCTGTTTGCTTGGGTCACGGTGCTGGAGGTGCGTGATATCCTAGAGGAGGCTGGGTTTCACTTGTTGCGGGTAACAAGCTTCTCGGTAGGTGCTTCTAGAGAGGAGGTAACGTAGCACCCTACGGAAGGCAGAAATATAATAATCAACTGGAAGTAGAACGGTTTCCAGTATATTCCTCCTTCTCCAATGCGTAATGGCTGCAATTCTTAATGGAATTGTAACTAGTAAGAGGAGCTGGCAAGAGGGATGTAAAAATATGGCAAAACATCTGTTAAAATAAGGGAGAATTAAATATTTATGCTGAAAACATTTTTCCTTGTGCATGTGTAGGAAAGCGAGCCAAGTTCTTCTTAATAAGCTTATTGCAGGCTTCACTGCTGATTAATCATAATGGAGTATTTGATCAGAATGGTAATTTTTCTGCTACGTGTGGCTATGTCTATCAGTATGAATTTAGCTCGCACGAGCATGGGAGGCTAAATTTTGCACAGGGTATTCTGGAGACTTGAAATGAGTAATGAAGCTTCCAGACAGATCTTTCCCGTTGTCGCTGAGGCTTCGCTCTGCGAATAGTCCAAGTCTAGGGTTTTTATGCCTGTTATGTACAGTAGGTTTAGTTTCTTTTGACTCCATTTCCATTGGCATGGATGGCCTTCAGACTTGATTCGGAAAACCTGCTTTGCACAAGTACTTAATGAGAGGTTTGACCCAGAGCATGTGAATATTTCTGCTTTAGCCCATGACCCTTGTTAACGGCTGAAGTTGAACTGCTTAAGTGCTGTCTTGATGTCGTTACCCGTGCTCTTCAGTCAGGAAGAGTCATCTTAGGGTCAGGAAAGGTTTTAGATCTATCCTCTTGACTCTAGAAACATCTTCTCAGTTAAACAAGTTTTTGAGTAAGTGAAGAGTGGACCCAGGGAAATGCCCTCTGAAATACTGCCAGAAATATTCCTTTCCAATTGTTTGAGGGTGGGTTGGTTTAGGGTGGCAGGGGGGTGCCTCCTCCTTGCTCTAGTTCCAGATAAATATTCTTCTGCCAGGAACCCTGTGCTATCAGCAGTCTTGGCTTATCCTCTCCGCTCTGCAGAAGAGGAGAGAGATGAGGTGGTGGGTGTGGGTCCTTGGCAGCAGAGCAAGCAAGAAGTTGTTGAGCAGCAGCAACTGAGGTGCAAGAGCTGAGAAAGAGAAGCTCTGCTCCGCACTGTTACTGGATGGAGGACAAACTCCCCCATGCTGCGGATGGCACGGTGCTGATTCACATGCAGGCTGAGCCTGCGAGCGTGCAGGATGGTGGTGGTGGTGGTGGCCTCTCTGCAGCAGGATGGAGTGCAATGCTGTCTTTGCACAATGAGTCAATCTTTTCTTTTTTTTTTTTTTTCCCCCCCCCCCCTTGCAAACCAGAGTGGATCATTCTTTGCGAATTTACACAACCATTTACTCCCTGCAGTAATTCAGCATCTTAGCTACAGCTGAGAGACAAATAGGTCTTTAGAGTAGTTATTTGTTTGAAGAACAGCAACACCAAGTGGCCTCTGCGACATTGTCTTGGCCGTAACAGAAAGTGAGATAAGAGACATTGCATGCCCAGTGCAGCTAAGTAAACACGCAGACATAGCTGGGGAAGGAAACGCAGGCCAAGAAAGCATGTCTGTGCCATCTGGGCACACACTGGATTCTCATTTCTGATGAAAAGGCAAACAGTCTTGCTTATTAAAGAGTCATTATCATGTTGGAGTTCTCTGAGGCTTTTAAATAGCACTTTAAGGATGATTTTTTTTTTCTTTTTTTATTTCCTTCAAATACCCACGGACTTGTGTGTTTTTACATTTGCTCAAGAGGACGCTGGTAAGGGCTAAGGAAGGAGGTAACTTGCAGTGCAATTTCAAAACAAAATGCATCCACACCTTGGCCTGTTTCTAGAGCTGGCTATCAAAAATGCATGGCCCTGATAACCATTCCTGTTCAAAACATAATTGGCTTCAAAACCAGGAGTTTTAAGCAAAAATGGATTTTTCTCATTGTATTCTAATGCATGGCCTTCAGGAACTGGGTTTCCAAGCTTTCTCTGCAGGGGGCTGCAGCAGCGTTGCAAGCTGGAGGTGAGTTTCGGGCTATCGCAACGTTTGAAGAACTGGAAGTGGGAAAGAATCATGAAGCGTTGAGATCAGATTGCTGAAGCTGGCGGTTTTGAGCACCTGGAAACATGAGCTAGGACTCAAATCATTGGCATC